GTGAATGCACTCCGCGCTCGAAACGCTCGCTCCCGACGAAGGCGACATCCGCGATGGCAACGACCGCGCATGGTCGACCAACAACCAAACTGAGCGACTCTCGGCGAGCCAAGGAAGAACGAAACGCTCTCTTGCCGCCGTTCACTCTCCAAACCGAGTCGGATGATGATTCAGGCATCCACTAGATCGCCTGGTCTCGCGAACGGCGTTCTATTGGAAATGTCAGTGCTCCCAGATCATTCATCTCGGACACGGAAGGTGCGCTCGTGGCCTCAGCAAAACCCACCACCCCTCTACGCCGTCGTCAGAGACCCGCGCTTCGGTCCCCCGAAGCCTCCGCGACATTCCGAGTCATGTCAAATTCGCAAACCCTCGATATGTGCGGGATCGAATCCCGACCTCTACAAAAAGCCGACGACTTTTCCGGTGTCGAGTCGACGTGTGCTGGTTGACGTCGCAAAACGAACTTCAAGATCTCTTGACACTTTCAATTTCGAGAGTACATCCGAGTGCAGCACGTCCGAATACTTCACGCCACCCGCCTCGTCGTGCAGCATTTGGGAGCTGTGGAATACAGAGCATACTCCACCGTACCGTATCGAAATATGTCCCTCAACGACGACGGTAGTGTCACCCGCGTCTGCTCCGTCGACTCCGTGCAATTGGAAGCGGCGCTCACCGGATTTCTCGTCTGACGCTTCGACTGCGACCGGCAAAGCGTTCGGCAGTCTGAGTTTCCTAAAACCGAGCAGGGGTCTTTGGGGTCTGCTATCCAAACTCCCTGTGCACCGACATAGAAGACCAAAGTTCCCCCCTCGATACAATCTCGACATTGGAGCTCCGATCCTGATCAGCCACACCCGAGGCAAGCGTATCGATTGGGTTCGATACTTCAGTGAGAACTCGTTGTCCGCAGTTTCTGGCCCGAGTCGCTCCCCGGACGAGTTCGATGTTCGTCATCTGACGGATACCCTCCCTCATGAGCGAACTTTCCACCGGTACCAACACCATCTCCCCCAGCTGGATATTCCGCCGGGAGACCGATGTCATCAACCGTGTCAGGATGTTCCTCCACTCGTCCCGTGTCGCAACGCGGTTCAAGACCGTCGGTGTCTCCTGCAGGCACGTCAACTTGAAGTCTCGAGCGACCGAGCGAACCGAAAAGACGGAGCTCCGGAGATTCACCTGAGTGAAACAGCTGTCACGCAGGATAAAACAACTGACGGCAAATTATTTGAATCGGCGAAAGACTCCTCCCTCCAATCCAGATGCACTTTCTACGTCAATTGTAAAAAATCAACATAGGTCGGATTACGTGAAACGTGCGGTCGGTCGATACGTGGTCTTGACGGCGGGTGTTCCTTCCTGTACGGACCGTGCTTCGAATTTGCCGTGAACAGGAGTTCGAATCGCAACATGACGTGAATGAGCAGTCGTGTTGGGGACGAGAAAGGGGCGATGCTGGCTCGGGCAGAAAAATGATGAGGGAAAGCCTGTTACAAAAACATTCATATATCATTAGCCGTCGAGCCTCCTGTCCCTGGGGAGCGTGTCAAACGTGAGACGACTCCACCACCGATGTCTTGCCAACGCGGCCACACAAGAAAGTGTTGTTGTCATCACCACGATGACCCTTCCGGCTGCCTTTGGACCCTCGAGAAATAATAGATGCTCCTCGCTTCCCTAGGGCTCACAGCGCGACAGGACGACCGTCGGCATCACGGAGTCGATGTTCGAACGGATATTTCTCACCTTGGCGATAGGTATTCCGCGAGACCTAGCGACCCAGAAGCGGGGACACAACCCTGTCCATACAACGGACGCTCGTCGGTCGGTCGGTCTCGCTGGGTTCGGCGATGAGAGATACAAGTTTTACGCTCTCTGTCAATTTTGTGTGTACACATCTCTGCGATCACTGTGGAATAGAGGTCTGAAGATGTTTATTCAAAGGCCAGCTTACGCTGTCTGTCGTCATGCCTCCGCAATGTCTCACAAGTGCTGATTACGAGGCCGTCATCGACAATCTCTTCTTGAAACACTTTGATTGGTCGACCGCGCATACATTCCAAGAACTCTTCGTTAACGAAGAGCAAAGTAGATTTAGACCCCTCTGCACATATTGGTTCGAGAACGTGACCATCCGAGCTGTGTGGTGTGGAAATCGAGAGTCAGTGCGATACGCTGGACCCGCCGTCGGGCAGTCATCGACTTCGACTATCACACTCTCGCTCCACTATCGACGACGATGAGAACGACGTCGGCGTCGTCGAGGGTGGCAGCAGTAGCAGCGAGAGTGGCAATTAAGACTTGCTCGGCGAGTCGGTCTTCCTCCGGGTCGGTCTTCCTGTCCCTATCCCGCTCTGACCGGCAAATCTTGGCTGGGTCAATCCTGGATTAGCATTGCTTAGATGAAGCTGCTATGAGTGAGCCGTCAAGCTATCTTGATGAGCTTGGATACCTGCGCTATCCGGGGCTGCCTTCTCCTGCATCTTCTCATCAGAGAGATATTCCGAAACTCACAACCGCATAATCAGGCTTCATTTGCATTGGTTCGGTTGCTTCTCGAGAGCATAGCTTCCGGGACGCAGACGGAGCTTTTGAAGTTCCCTCCGAGAATTCCCAGACTCGCTGACGCGGTGCTTTGTAAAATTATCACCTCAGTCGGAGAGGATCGGATGTTCCGCTAGACGATCTCGGATTGTACCGCCTACGAGCGAAAACCGAATCCGCTGTATTTTCGTCGATGGGTGTAGGGAACCAACGTGGGATGACTTGATTTTTGAGAGTTTGCGGTAAAGCCGGGCGTCGATATTATGGTTCGGAACACAACCGGGGTTTCGCCTGTTATGAAAAACCCTGGATTTCCGAATGAATTGTCAGTGATCTGTCGAATCTCAATAGATTGGGAGAGTGCATTCGAGGAGGCGGATCGGCTTCTGAGGCACCCAGGTCGACCTGAATACAATGGCTCCGCCGATCCCAGGATCACTCTCTGATTCTTAACCTTTGCATGGCTGTGCGGGAATGCTTCTCGCGACGCGGACTATTGTAGGAAAGCAGGTTTCTTCCAGAATCGAATAAAGGGGAAAGGGATGGTCGAAAATTTTGAGTACAGCTTGTGTCCCTTCATTGTTTGAGTTCGTGGATGTTCTCCTTAGTACGCCTCGGGACTCGGTTTTCCGATAAGCGACTTCGGACGTAAAATGGGTCGGATTCGGATATCAACTCGCTCAATTTCCGAAGAATTCCGAATCAAATAATCCGGACCGGAACAACTACTGGGAGTTTCGAACAAACAGAATCTTCGAGCCAACAGCTTCGACTGTAGCTCTCCAGGAGTCCTCTTGGTTTCCATGGAGAAAGAACGGCCTTATGGGAGATGCTTGTCGACCCGACATGCAGCAGCAAAGCGGTGCTTTTTACTTTTGGCTCGACGGATATCGCTGACTTGCCCACGGCATTTTTTTAACGTCAGAAAGCACTTTGTGCCTCGGAGAGACCCAATAATTTTGAGAGCAAAACTCCATCGCCTCGATGACGCGGCTAGTATGGTCACGGTAGAAATCCGGAAGGAAACACAGCGGATGCAGTCGCTGAAGTTTCGCCCACCCTTCTTCTCTCTCGCACTATCTAGTTGTCCATCAGCGGCTGGACTCGCTCACGCTTCGGATCCCATCCGGGCACTTCTTCTCGGTCGGATGTGAGTGTTCTCCAAGGGCTTCGATTGCTACTTCTCACGTATGTCGCGTGACCTCAGGTCCGGACCATTCGACGCAAATCGAGAAACGGAAATCGTGCTGGATTGGAATAGCAAAAAACTCCTTCTGCAGGTCTCTCGAGAACTTTGCGAAATGCCTCAGTCAAGATTAATCCACTGAAGCTCATGCTCGACCTCCGCGGGGAATTGCCTCTTCGGGGCAGTTCGGGTTAAGCTCGTCGCGATAATCGAATCGAGAGGTCGATCGGACGAGTTCGTCCCAGGTTAATGTGCGCCTTTCTTGATTTTCTTGAGAATCCTTCGCTTGTCATGAAGGGGGGGGGGGAGACCAGGCGTTTCCTGGAGAGATAGATGGCTCACAGACTCGAGGGTCGCCGCGATTATAGCTCAGAAGTTCTGCGGCCCGGCTTTCCCATAAACGGAGACTTCGAGAGCAACACGCTTCTCGCAAGAGACGAAAAAAATAATTCCGATTCTCTCGAAACCGCCGTCCATAAAGCGAACAAGTCTTCGACGTTGTGCATTCGACAGCGGAGGAATAGAGTCTGCGAATGAACGCATCCAGAGTCGGACCAAGGACTGACGGCGTCGGACAGATGGCTTTCGCAGTTGATCGCGGCAAACGAAAACAACTCTGCTAAGCGTATTAGTCGCGGACGTCGTACGACCGACGTCGACGGATATTCCCTCGACAGCCGCCGCCGCAACAACGTCGGCTAGTTTGCTGCTGTCATCAGCACGGACGAAGTGAAGCACATTGTGTTCGGGTTCAATAATTATGTCGTGTGAAAATAGATCGCCCGAGCTCCCGAGCTATTGAGCTCGAATCTGGCAGCTGGCTCCACTAGGTCGAGTAATGAAGCAACTCCACCTGTAAACCAATCCCTCGCAGGAAGTCGGGTTTACTCGAACGAGTTCCTCACGGCATTCGGCCGCATTTCATTCGGGATTAACTCCTCTGAGCGACTGACTGCGACCGCATATCTAACCACGCGCCACACCGATAAGAACCCCCCTCCGTTCCGCAAGAAAGATAACGAACTGTCGCCCGCGGACGATGGCCGTTCGCCCCCTCCCCCCCTCGCAGAGCAAACACAGTTGGAGACATACATTCGCAGAAGAGGAGCCCGAATAGCGAGACTCGCGACATACATATGTATGTATGTACCTACCTACTACCCACATAGGGACACTCATACATAGTACGGAGAGAAAGTTTACCCCGAGACCTCCTAAATATGGTCTTACGCGAGAATTCGCGCTTCGAGCTGCGCAAGCTTACCTCGGATCGATGACCTCGCATGTTATAATTCGTTCGGCTCGGCTGGTCCGACGTACGTCGGCAGTGGCACGTTGTGAAAGTCACTCCAACAATGCCTGAAAATCCAAAGAAATTAGTTTAAGTACGCATGCAACCTCAGACTGCGGGCGCCAAGGATTACGTGGATCGAAGAACTCCTTTGCCCTTGTTTGTCGACCGACTCCCGGCCTGGAGGAGTTTCGATTTTTCGCTATTCGGAGCCGATCGCTGCGAGCTCCGCCTGCTCTACGAGACTTCGATAGAGAGTGTTGGCAAAGTTCCTTCACTCACTCAGTCGGTCGGATCGAAAGCCGCCATGGGAAGCTCTGTTCTCGCAAGTTCTCCGCAGTGAAGACAAACAAAGAGAACTAAACAACAGCCGGTTGGAACGATTCCCGAGTCAACAATCTCGCAGGTGAAATGGATTCGATCCAGCCGAACAAGGAAACTTTGAGTTTCGATTTGAATAATTTTAAATCGCTGCAGAGCAAGACGAGTTCGTCGAGGATTTCGCAAGTTTGATTCTCTCAAAGCGACTCTCTCGAGGAGTTCTGACTGCGTTTCCCGTTCGCGTGGGTTGACGGCCAGCCCAGCGTGTTCCACGCGATCGTTGATTTCCGTCAAACATCCACGGCTGTGCTCAGAAGAGATGGATCGAATGAGCTGCCAATTCTCCGAACTCGTCCACATCGGGTTCGTCGATCGCGGGCTCAGCGACTGCGATGGAAACGAAACCGTACAGATCCTGACAACGGCGGTTCCGGCGAAAGCCAGTGGTTCGGAAAGGCGACTCGTGCCAAAGATCTCTCTCGACCAGGCAAGGAAGCAAAATACGAAGAAGGTGGTGATGTTGATCGTGTCACTACGGTGGTCTTTCCGGGGGGAATCCTGTAAACTCCCTCCGGGCTTCCGGCTTTTCTTCTAACAGACGCTGATCCGTCATATTCAGGACAGATTCCCCCCACGGGGGCTGTTATACGTCACAAACGGTGACGGTGGCAACACGGGAGCTGTCCAGGAGCTTTTTAGCCTTCGGAGATCGCATCCGACTTGAGCCGAGACAGCTGATATACTGCACTTGCTTACAGAATATCGAGCCGCCCGTCAAGACGATTGTTTGTTTGGCGGATCGCTGATCCCGGGTCGGGCTACCGATCATTATTGAGCAGATCGGTTGTGGGTGGGAACTTTGGCAGAGGGGGCGAGGGGGTCAGCTTAAGCGGCCAAGCCCCGGTTGAACGCCTACTATTATTACCAGAGCGTTTCCCGGGAGGCTCGGTGAGGCTCAAGCAGGGCAAACAAATTGAAACTCGGTCCCGGGTAGCATCCCCGTCGGAAGAAAAACTTCGAATTCCGAGCGACGACCCGTTGCTCGGTCGGTCGCAACGAATTGGTTGGCATTCATTACAGCGTTGTTCTCGATGCGGGAATGCGAAGTTTATCAGCATCGGATGCCCAACCGGTGGCCGTTCGGGCGATAAGGACGTGTTTAATTTTAATTAAGGCTTCCATTATCATCATCAGTATCGCCACGGTCGGCGAGGCATCGCTTCGTTATATGGACAAGGAGGAATACACGCCTCCGCGCCGATAATGAGTACAGATTCCGAATGTCCATTGTGACCATCCTCGTGGGATTCCATTGGCTTCCGGAGATCTGCTGAGACGAGGAGGCTAGGCGGTTTCCCGGGGTCACGACGAAACCCCATTGAGTGGGGATCAGGAATTTAGCGGCACGGGAGGGTCTTGAGAGACGCTAAGTCTCGTGGCACCCTGCAAGGACTTATACAAGAGGATCCCCCTAAGTGGAGCATTACGAGAGAACGGATGTCGGGGGAACGTGCCAACGCGAGGAATTTTCTAGCGAAACGAGTTCGAGGCCAGACATCCCGGATGAGACTTTGAGAATGGAAACTCCATGAAACGAGAGGAGCACGAAGAGGGGGCGCCGCCTACGCGGCACGAGACATGGCCGTACATGAGAGAGGGGGCGAGGATGGAGTGGGAATAGATATTTCGAAAGAATCGAGGCCTTTGTGTAGGCCAGCTGAATGCTTTTCGACGTCTCAAAAGAGCAGACTCACACACACAGACACACACACACAGTCAGAACTACAATTGAGGGAACAGCGCCAATCGCTGGTCGGTCGTTTAGTCCGTGCCGTGAACGCCTGGTTGAGGTCGCACAAAAACCTTTTCTCTCCGTACAATCGACGAAACGAACCGCCGCATGGAGGTCATGACTGTCTTTATTTCTAGTCGACCGCCCGATTCAAACAATTCGAACTATCTGACCTACACGGCTAGATCACTCTCGGAGCGAGTCCTCTGCCTGTTCTATCCATTTCCCAATGAGGGAGGAAAACTCGATAATTACGTCCCGTTAACGTCTTTCATTCGGTTTTCCTGGACTGTCGTCATAACGAGGGGTTTCCAGACATTGTCGTACGAGAGTTGCTGCTATTGCTCGGACTGGCTCTGCGGGGCGGAGGATACTCGATCGAAGGATGAATTCATGTCACTTGCCCAAATAGCAGGCATGGCCATGAGGTTCCTCGTCATCGAGCCTGCTTCCAAGAATTCAAAAATCGAACTACCAACCTCTAGTGTTGCCCGAGGCGAGCCAGCCGTCCTGATAGTAGTTCAGACGGTTGAGTCGCCATCCTTCGTCTTCGGGCAGCTCGTCAGGAACTTTCCCCATCCAGGAAAGAGCCTGCACGGTCGAGTCGGCCCGCGTACAAGCACTACGCTCAAAATGGAGATGCATTTCGAAGCTTTTCCCTGCCACACTTATTTCCTTCCTGATCACAAACCACTGACGGATTGTTGATGTTTTCTAGTTTCTTTTGAATCGAATTCCGACTCCGCACTAGTTCGGCGCTACACTACCGATTACTGATCCCGGATTACTCCAAACCACACCATTCCTGTCTGCTTGCACGTCCGTCACGTTGCACCAAGACCTTAAGTTCAGTTGCGGACTCCTGTCCGACCGTTCATGCTACAAGCAGCAGCACGAACAACACCGAGTCGTTCCTGGCAGACGATCTGTGTGTTACGGAGAAAGGACAACTCCCCCCGAGGGCGAAAGAGCTCCATGGGGAAGAGGCCGCGCCAACCCACCAGCCGCCACCCGGTCCGAGGGATTGCCGCCTGGCTGGTTGTTATCCTCCCAAGACCAACCACGGAGCCCCCGCACACAAGACTGACCCGAGTTTCCTCACTTATTGATAGAGCTAAGGAACTCCTGCAAACGGCCGCCCAGATGGGGAACCTGAACCCATTGAGAGCGTTCTCATACCTTATCGGTCACGACGGAGAATCGTTCAGCAAATCGAATGCATGCGTTGTCTGTTTGATGTTGAGAGCCTATGAATATTCAGAAAAGATTCTTTATCATCAGTGCGGGCACCTCGGCCGAATATGAGTTTCAATCGGCTACTTGGTATTTGGAGGAGGAAGACTCATCAGTTTGTTCCCTCGACTATCCTGACAAAATGTTATCCTGGTCACGAGCACGTTATTTTTTCGGGAGGGGAGGGGGGCACCTCGGAGGGCAAAAGGGCTCGAAATCACCATGCGCCTTCTCTAGGCCTATACTCGAGCATAGGATCAAATTTTTTTTGGGGAGAGGGCATTGCTTCCTGCCGCCCCCCCCCTTGTGTACGCTTCTGCCTGATAATTCACATCTTAGTTTCCGAGATATATTTACGCCGATAGACTTTCGTGTATACAACGTCTCACAATCAGTCCCTCACGATTCGGACTGGACACTGGACAATCGGCTCGGTTGGACTGGTCTTCGTTCCAGCCGTTGCGTCGTCTACTAATTCGGAATTTTTCGGTCTCATCAATAAGTCGCGGGAGAAGACACTGCTTGGTCTTCCCGGCAGTCTGTCTGACTCGACGCCCGAGTCTGGGATCCCATGGTACGAGGGTAGCTGCCCATCTATCGCGAAGAGTCGCTGGGCGTTCGGGGCATCTGAAATATGACGACTTGCGCCCCTTATCGAAATTCGAGATCCTCGCATGGATCCTGCTCCTGGGGTCCCCGATGGAGGGACACTCTTCCGACCGATCTCATCCAATCCCAGAGAGATCTCATCCGATCCCAGAGAGATTTGGAAAGGCTCCCCGCTAAAAAAATCTCGAGATGCCCAATTGTGGAAGCTCGAAAAATTTGGACAATCATTGAGGAATACAGAGATATGCTTTTTTTGGCTCCTATAGAAGTGCTGATTCGCCTTTTCCGACTGCGGCATGTATCAATCGATCGCCCTGAGCGCTGCACGCATTCCTTACTAGACGAGTCTCCGAACACGTTTCAATCCTGACGTGCGACGTGCAGAGAAGAATGGCGCGGGCACCGCTTGTCGACATTGTTTGGGGGACCCATCACCTGTACAGAGTCCTTGGTGCAGACTGATTCTCGAATCCTTGAGTTGAAATGCCGAGTCCGAAACACGCCAAAGTCAAGCCCTGTGAGGCTCCGTCGGAAACCGAGAAATCGTCGGCCGAATCGCTACCGAAACCTACGACCTCGGACGAGCCGTCGACCGCCGGGAATCCATCGCCCGAGCCAGTGCCGGAACCCTCCGCTTCGGATAGGCCGTCGACCACTGAAAGTCCATCGCCCGAATCATTGCTGGAAGCCTGCGCTCCGGCCGGGCCGTCGACCACCGAAAACCCATCGCCTGGACCGCACACGGAGCTCTCAACAAGCGACTCACTCTCAGAACGAGCACCAAGGACTCCGAGTGAGTTTTCTGATCCTTCCTGATCCCAGATCCCCCGGCAACTAGGGAGAGAAGGCTCTTGACATTCACTAACTACTCGAGCCCTCGATCACTTTCATCGCTCAAGTTCTAAGAATTCTGACGCTCGAGCCCGGAAGCGGGAAACGACGGAAGATCGACCAAATTAGGTGTTCTCATAGCCTATCATTAGACCCCGCGAAGCCTCATGCTGTGCCGTGTGTTTCAGAGCCGTGTTATAGAATCGGGGATCGCTTTACTGTTACTCGCGTCAGGAGCCCCGATCTACACGTCCGCTTCGCTTCCACAGTCGAAATCTTGAACGACGATAGTGACGAGGACGATTCCGCGCAAGGGGCCCAGACGGGATCCTCCTCGGCGCGTTCCAGACCCAGAACCAAGAAATGCTTCCAATGGCACCACCACAAGAAGAATGGGAAGAAAAAGTAATGGGGAGGGACGAGGAGACCCGCTGTGAAAGTACAGTTTGAAGGTTTTTTATCGTAGGTTGATACAAGGGGAGATGATGCGTGAGCTCTCGGGCCTCCATCGAGACTGAGCGGAAGGAAGTCGAACGAGATAAAAGGTATCATAGAAATAGGAATGCGAGAATAAGACTCCCAACCGAAGATAGCCGAGACTTGGAGCTCCGCCCATACATTTGACAAGCATTCGTCGCCGGGATAAACCTTCAAGAATCGTCGGTTTTACTGCTCACCCCAAGTCCCTTCGGAGCGGAATAATGATTTAACGAAAATTGTGCCATCCTTCAGAAACCGAGCGATGCTTCCTTTATCAATCGCCATTCGTAAATTAAATACTGACTCTTCACCATTTATAATAAATGAATTGACACTGGAGTAAGACCGATCGCGAGCCTCACTATTCGTTACTGTGCAAGAGAATTTGACAGAACACGTCATCCGAACGCAGGCGACGAAGAAAATGACAGAGGGGAAGCTGTCCAAAATGTTCCACTCATTTCACCGGTAGCGCGTTCCCGCAGCTCGAACGATTCCTGGAGACTGAGGACGTCGAGCCCCTCCGACCGATACCCGCTCAGAATCGTATGCTCGAGTCACAGGTCACAGCCAAGAAGAACATCGAGTGCACTGGAGACTGAACTCAGTCCATTATTGATTGATGATTTTGAATCTGTATCTCTCGCGAGACGAGTCGACGCGCAGCTGCTCATCATCCATCCGGCACGTGTTGCGCGCTATCGGAACGGGATCCGTCGTTTAAGATGAGAGAAACACACACGAGCCACCAGTCCAATGGGAAGGAGGAAGGACTACCAAAGAGAGGTCCGACTTTTAGTGGCTAAACAATGAAAATATTCGAAAGCACGTGCGCTCGCTGCGTTCTATAGGCCATGAGATAACTTTATTGAGGAAGTCAACTTCAGGTGCGGGATTCTCGCGAAGGAGCCAAATCAATCAAAATGGAATCGCGGAACATTCTGAAGCCGAGATTCGTCGACGTGCAGTTCGATACGAGTAAACTGAAAGCAAGGGATCCACCAGGTGTGTATTCGCATGAACGCCTCAAGATTCCAGAATAGACATGGTCTTTGAGCGTTGGACAATCGGCGGAAGAGGTCGGATCCGACGTGTGGCCTCAGGAACGTCCGAAGTGCGCATCTCTGGTGGGAGTGTATGTTCGGGATCGTATGACATTCCCCAGTCAAATCAGATGACCCTCTCCGTTCGGCTTCCAGACAGCGAATTCGACTCTGATCTAGACGAGGATATCACCTCAGGCAACGAGATCATCGTCGACCGGAGCAAGCCCGCGGAAACATTCTTCGTCATCGATAACCGAGGCGATGACTCCGATATGCAAATACAGGGTACGTGACAATAGGTGACAGCTCTTCTGCGAGTCGTATCGCGGGCACAGATCCGGAAGCAAATGAAACCGAAAATTAACCCCTTCCCCGCCCCCCCCCCCCCCCCGCCAGTTCCGACCTTGGACACCGAATTGAAAACAGCGCTCTCGGACGTGAGACCTTCCTTGTACATATCCTCGGACGTTTCCGCGATCAAAGAGAAGATGCGCGAAATCAACAAGCACTGGGCCGAGGACATCCTTTTGCATAGGAGTATTCTGAAGGACGACTCCGAGAAACAGAAGACTGTCGAGTTGAAGGGTGGGAAGAAACTACAGAAACGTCTCCGTAAAGCAGAGCGTGAGAAGACGGCCGGCGATGATTGGTACAACATGACGAAACCAGAGCTCACCGACGAGATGAAGAAGGATCTCGAACTGCTGAAAATGCGAAAAGTTCTCGACACGAAAACGTTCTACAAGAAAAACGACATCCAAGAATTGCCGAAATACTTCGAGGTCGGAACCGTGGTTGACAACGCGACAGACTTCTACTCGGATCGAATACCGAAGAGACAGAGGAAGCAGACTCTGGTCGACGAGCTGTTGGCAGACGAGCACTTCAAGAAGACCAACAAGAAGAAGTGAGTTTCGAGAGAATAATTCCGCTCGGGGATGCGTGAATGTGGACTCTCATGAGTATAGTCCGTGGAAATCAATGATTCATCGGACCCAGTCGAAATGAGAAAAGGAAAGGGGCTATCGGTGCAGGTTCATATCGAAAATGAGATTGAAAACTCCTCTTGAATTACAGATATCGCGAGGCACTCGAACGTCAGCAGTACACTTCGAAGAAAGCCTACGTTCAGCTCAAGAGGATGCAGAAGAAAGAAGAAGCGAAGCAGAAGAAGAAGAAACAGCTTTCTTAGGTAACCGAATGTAAATAAATCTCGTGATCTTCAGCGTGAATGTGATTTCAAATGAGATTCGTCGAAATCACGCGCTGTTCATGGCAGTCCTCAATCAGTTTAATTGCTCCTTTCGGCGTGGACAGACTGACAGGCGGATGAAGTCCCAGACAAGAAGGTTGACTCCCAGACAAGAAGGTTGACTCCCCGATATTTCTGATCTTGTCTTATTCCTCCAGTCTTTTCGGAAAAGGTGATTCTAATGCTACATCTGATTCGAATGAGCTCTGCCACGTCGAATGGAGGGAAGGCGGGGACATTTATGCGCGGACGGTGCAATCAGAGAACTTTTGTGTACGGTGCAAGGATACCAAAGTCCGACGCCTCGAAATCATCCCCCATTTCATACATGCCCGCGTTCGTATCGTTGCTCAAGGCCTTGATCTCTCGGCAGACTGCATTGTAGTTGGTATTTGTTCGTCATACAAACGAAAAGCCTTCCCTCGAGTCCCATGTACTGTCTCTGAATGAGCGACTAATCTAGAGCGCTGTCTCTGATGCTCCTATCAGCAATCGCTGAATCATCGGTTCTGCCAACGCAACCTCCTTTGCCCAGGGAACAGGAGTACTACAGAGAGGGGCCGAGGCTCTGCGTGGATCTCACGCAGAGGGCCGGGGTAGCGTTGTGACTCAAGATTTTCAGTCTCTTGTGAAGCGTCTCTAACAATCAGCGCCACCCGGAGCCCTTCCCTGTGGACAAAGGTTTAGGATAGCGGGATCACGAAGCTCGTAAGGGATCTCGCGGGTGAGGCTGAGGCCATTTCTAGCCTCGGGAAGTTGTTCAACATGTCACGAGCCTCCGGAAGCGGGTACACTTAGATTTGCATCGTTCCGTGAAGACTTCCCTCCCATAAAGCAGGAAGGATCGCCGGATAGTGCGAGCCCGGGAGCAGGCCTGCAGTCTGTGGACGTCAGCGTGCTCCTCGAGAGCGGGGAAAACGGCAAGATTCGGGACCCTCTCGGATGTTGTCGGGCAGCTAACATTCGCGAAGCTTGGAGCTCTATACGAATTTGCCATCCGAATAATAATTAAACGAGCCTCCGGTAACCCACGTGTTCGGTTCGAACCCGGTTCAGTGGATTCGCCCTGGGTCCCGCACTGTGATTCGAATGCACGATGCGAAGTACGCAACTTATCTATCGGTCTAGGGTAGCACCCAACCTCGAGGAGAACTGGGCAGGATCGCCCTACCGCGTTGGCATCCGCCTTCGAAGTAACAGGCTCGTTAAGACTAACCGCTCGTTATGAGATTGTCGAGCCAAACAACAGTGCTACTTGGGTGAGAAAGCCCCTCGAGCCTCAATTTCTCTGCTTGTGGGAATGACTTTATTAGAGTCTTTCTTCTCCAGTATCGAATGCATAGAGGTTTACCTTGAACCAGAACGGTGACTGTGTCATGGAAGTTGTCGGCCATCCGTCGCACCGAGATTTCTTCCACCGTAGAGAAGGGGGCAAGAGGCTGGGAGCTCGATGGCTCTGCAGCTGCAGGACCCGATTCGGGAAGAAATGACCCATGATGGAAGTCCGTCATCAGTCGACTGTCGGGAACTTCGAAGCTCCGAAAGTCGAGCCTGAAGCTTTGAGCAAATCATTCTTCATCCCGTTTTTCACTATCCCAATTCTGAGAATGAGAGTCTCAAATAAATCGTAGATACGGAGCCCTGCCTCGCATTCCTCTCGAAAATAGAACGGACGGGAGATCAGTCGCGATCTACGGCAGAGACGTCCGCTTCCTACAAATAGCTGGTTTGCGACGTCACCAGGAACGCATCAACAAGGAAACTCTCACAGACCAAGTCCTTCGGAATCGTACGAGCCTAGAGAGCGTTGACAAACTCGCAACGTTTGCGCTCCGGAGTCGCGAGCTCCAGGTGCGCCTCTGAATTTTTTTTAATCCTTTCGGGACTTGAGTATCATCCAACCAGGAAGAAAGAGGAGCCGCAACTCAGAGGAACGAAACGATGCTAAGATGCGAGGGCTTCCCTTAACGAGAATGTCTCCGCCATACGAGGGGGGCACGCGAAGGATGATTTCTCGAAGAATCAATGCCTCTGCTGTGTGTTCGTTCGAGGCTGTCGGCAAGTTCCGGATCGGTTCTGAAGTCGAAGTTCTGAAAACTGACGAAATATTGCATGATCTACGCGGGGCGAGCCTCTACCACCGATCTCCTCAAGAATTTTATCGGAGTATCCGAGTTTTTTCCCCGAGTCCCAGCTCCACACCTCGAGAGCCAGATCAGTCGTCCCTCAAAACGCCTCGCTCCGGTGATCCGAAATTATGAACTGCGGAGCAAAAAAAAATCTTCTCCGTCCGGACGGATTGGCTTCTCGTATGCGAGGCATCAGACCCGTCTCGATTGGCCGAGAGTTGCACGGGCGCTTTTGGCGCCAACTCGCGCACGAGAAGGAGACGTGAACGGTCGTTTCTCAGACTACAACGACTATCGAGACAGCGGGGCTGAAGAAGGCCTGGCGAGCAACGGTCAGCCCAGAGAAACGCCTTTTTATTTTTCTGACGATTCGTTCGTTCTCGCCTCCGGGCTGATCGTTCGCTTGCTGCTCTTCGATGTGTCAGATAGATCACCGAGGACGGAGCTTCTGGTTGTCGTCGCTGACGGCTACCCGTCTCGTCTGCTTTCAGACGGGGATGTTTAATTCCGAATTGTGAATCAAGCCATCGGAAATCGACCCCATGATCTTCCCCGCACCCGTAGAAGGTGTACGGAGGAGTCGCAAGCGGCGTACATTCTGCGAAAAATGATGCGCTGATGAGCGGGTGTGAATCATATAGTGTTCTGAACACACACATTCATTCGAAGCGACGGCTTGAATCGATCTGACTCGCTCGAATCGCACATCCCTGTCCAGTCGGCTTCAGAAACGAATGGGTCCCGCTTACGATTCGGAATGAGCCTCGGGAGTATGCTCCGGTGAATGACGCTCCCATTAGATTCCGGAAGACATGCTTCGATCGTCGCTCCAGGGTGTCGAGATGGGAGGAGGGGCCTCGGTGTTCTACTAGCTGTTCTCCCATCAAGAAAGCAAGAAGGGCTACTGACGGCGAGGAGCTCGGATATTCGTTCATAGAGCTCGCAACAGGTTGATTCTGCACAAAAGGTTCCATATGTTCGGACTACGACAGGTTGTTACCTCAGAAGTGAATGGAGCTCGGAGGATTCGCATCAGATCTGACTTGGTGCATTGGTTGGCTTACAGGTGGCGGATGTGGGTTGTCTGCTCTGCTGCCATATGCTGTCGGAGAATCGCGTGGTGGGAATCGGGAGTACGAGTATGCGAAGAATGTGGAATTCGTTGCGAAAGAGCTCGTAGGCTCAGACACTTGGGGAGCTTTGCACCTCGGGCTCGGACGTTGCCGACTCTCGGAAAAAATCGCTTGGTCTTCTTCTTTCTACATTGCCTTTGAGCTTCCATCCGAAGCTTGCTCGAAGTTGCTGCCTCGATGAGATTCAGACGAAGACGCTCAGAAATCAATCTTTATCTGTCGGGTGGGACGAGGCTGCCCTCCGGTCGGAGCCTCCTCATCGGTGAATATATTTGTGAGGATGCTTGCGGAGCGAGCGTGTAAACATCGGTTGGAATCTGATGGCTTCCAGATCGGCTCTCAACGGCAATCTCTGTTCCCCTTCCACCTAATGACTTTCCATAGAGTAGTAGTTTTCCCGGTACTGGCGACGTTGCACCATCATCCCGCTCCTCATCATCCGCCTCTCGATAGAATCAGGCACTTTCCGGCATTACCCGGCGGAGCATGTTTGGGTGATGTTCCACTCGAGCCGTCCGGCCACGTCGGCGTCGGGGAAGTGGACACTTCCTTGCAATTTACGCTAAACAAACTCCTGAGTTGAGAACTGTTGTCAAGCACGTGAGACAAGGCTTGAGCACACTTGCGCGCATTGTTCGCCAGGCATAATTTTGAGAATACCATGCGGGTTCGTCCGGATAGGCAATTCTATACCGAAGTGAACTCGGAACGAGTCTGACAAACTCATACTTTGGACTTTCAATGTCTTGGGTGTCGAATGCTCTTGTGATACTCCGGCTGAACATTTCAACCAGCAGGAGAAAGTCACGGTGAACGATGATTCCGTCCCGATTCGTTCGGATCGATTCCCATATTGATTCGAATCGGTCCGGAAAATCGCTATCGCCGACTTTGAAGATTCCGACTATCGTGTCCGAGCGGCTGGATTCGGAACAGGGTGTTTTCCGGCGAAAGACACAAAACCCAGAGGGTCGTAAATGCTCGGTCGCATTTGGCTTTCGGAAGTGAGAAGTGACGCATCTCGATCTCTCCGTTTCCACACTTGTCCTCCTAGTACAATATCTCGACAGGGGAGGGCGCGCGGGGGAAGACTCTTTACAGCAGTCAAACACGGAGCACGGCTTCCTAGATGATTTCCTCTGCGATCACGCTTCTTCCGACGCCCCCACAGCACCACAGAGAGGGAATTAGAGATTTACAAGACGATGCGGCCGACAGAGCGAGCCAGCGTTGGGCGGCGAGTGTCCATGGCCTCTTTCAACAGACTGCTGGTCGATCGGTCGGCGTGGAGCTTGGCAATTTGGCTCGCTGTCTGTGAAGAGAGACAGAAAGAGTAATCGCTTCGGGCCTCGCAAAGCACCCCAGCTACCGAATTACGTGCGCACGAATTTCGCCATCGCTACCCATCAGCCAATTATTCTCGTTCCACGATGGCATCGTGCTCATCGCGTTGTCGGGATATCTTGTGATCCGATTTAGGTCGGATACCCCGTCCTTCTTGATCCTGGGTCATCGTCATGGGGATAGAGGGAAAAAAATTATATTTTGGAACACCGTCGATTCGGTGGCCCTGTGGAGCAAGTCGACGTATTCCGACGGGGCCCTGACGCGGAGTGACCCAACCTCAACGCTATGCTCTTCTAGAAGACCGATCCCGGCAGGTGAAATTTACGGAGCCCCGATACAGTCATCGCCTCCGCCTGATGAATAC